TGTGATGATGATGATTCTGTTTATAAGTTAGCTTTTGGGACATTTACTGTTTGTGGATTTCACAGAACTGCCTTCAAATGTGACTTAGGAAAATTCAAAGTTTTCCCAGTCAACAAGAGGGTGATCTGTATTCTTAAAGGGGTCCCTTGAAATATGAAGCGTCTTAGCAGTTAAGTGTACACAAACCATTTAACCACACAACAGAGGGCCAGGGAAGAGAAAGTTAACTTGTGAGAAGTCACTGCAATGAACATGTATGCATGTCAGCAGGAAAGAAGATTTCAATAAATACAAATTTTAGTTCATGGAACTTTTTCCAGGAATAACTTTCTCATATAAAGAGAAGAATTCCTACCCTGCAATCAATGGCTCCTTTGTGGGTTGAGTGACAGTCTCGCTAAGTCCCCAACTCCTGCTCCTCCAGTGACCTGAGCAATGGGGAGCTCAGACAGCCTTTTTGGGGATCACCCCACTGCAGCTCGGAACTAGCTGCTGTCAAGGGATGCCAGTTGCATAATTAACCATAATAGCTGCAAACAATATACTTAAAACAAAACCCCAGTTGGTATTTAGCTGAACTAAAACAACAACAAAAAAAAACAATGGTGTAAATTATAGCTATGTGTATAATAAAATTTCTTATTTGCATTTCACATAAAACTCACCAAGCTCCTTATTCACTCATTACTTACCCATTATGGGTTTTTAAGTGGCACTTTTAAAGTTTGCTTTGGCTCGGGGTGAATTATTTGCCAAGACTTTATTCCTGGAGTCATGTCTCCTCCGGGACTTCTTTACCTTTTGGCAAATTCATAGCTCATTTTGTGGGTGGTAGTGGTTTGTGGCCTCTATGTATGCCTGTGTGGTCACATGTAGGGAGTTGTCTTAGGATATTGGTGGAACATTTCATAAGGAAGTGTCCTATATCTCAGAGTAATTAAAAAGGAAAAAGCAAAAGCGGAAAACTAGTAAATAATAAACAGAGCAGCAAAAATTAGGTTAATTTCTTGCAATAATGCATGTGCTTGAAGAATCTGCTAATTTAATACATGGAAGAGATGTATCTTACAAAAATTCACTGAATGCTTGCAAATCGAGAGGCACACAAGTTTGTGAAAAGGTAAAATTGAGGCCAAGCCTCAATTCTGAGAATAAAAATCTTGATGAACTTTTAATAAGCCATAAATGCAATGTTGGATACAGATAAGCAGAGGAAAATATTTTTGTGTGTATGTGGACACTTTCATTAAAAAATGTCGTCTTTAAGACCCACATTAGAATGTTAGGGGAAGAACTGAGGCATAAGGCAAGGTAGCTGTAGACATTTACCAACTCCAAGAGGGCCATGAAAACTCCCTGCCCCAAATTTCCCTCACTCACTGCCAAACATGGGCTTGGAACGCCTTCCAGTGTAGTCCCTAATGAGCTCGAGGCTAAAGGTAAGGAGTGTTTCAGAAACGAAACACACAGTTTTTCAGAATATTAGGAAGTAGTCTGGATTCATAGAGACTTCAGGCTAGAAGAGATCGTCCTGTATTCAGTTTCTGCTTCCTCCCAATGCGTACATTTTGCAGACTCAATATATCCTCAGGTCCCCCAGGTAACAATAAGTGGCTAGCTGAAGATCACATAGCAAATTAACGGCGTAAACATGCTGGTTTCTAATTCGCTATTTAGAGGTCTTTTTCACACCACCGAGCACTCACTGCCTGCGCTCCCATGGGTGAGAGAGGGCCCGGCACATTTCACTGGAGGAGGAGTTGCAGTAGTAGGAGGACTGATGGGTGGCAGAAAGAAGGTTAAGGGGCGGTACATTCTGGATTTATGCCTCAATACAGACATTTGCTATCTTTGCCTAACATTGGCTTAAATGACAAGGAAAGGTTTATGCCATCAACATACCATCAAACAGTAGCTTGCTCTTCTCCTGGATATAGTTAATCTGCTGGTAAAGCATATCGCCAGTGAAACACTGTCTCTTCTACTCAAACACAGCACGGTGCCCTGGCACCAGCTTAATGCTAGGGTTCACCCCTCACTCACAAGGCACTAGAACACTGGATGCTTTTTTGTTTAAATCCTCACCTGAGGATATTTTTCTGTTGATTTGCAGATAGAGTGGAGGGAGGGAGAGAGTGAGGGAGAGAGAGAGAGAGAGAAACATCGATGTGAGGGAGATGCACTGATTGGTTGCCTCCTGCACGACCCCAACTGAGGTACATGCCCTTGATTGGACTCGAACCCGAGACTCTTTAGTCCACGGGCCATCACTCTAACCGCTGAGACAAACTGGCCATGGCCACTGGACACTTTTATAGTCATTTGTGTGTTTAGAGATTGTTCTGGGTTTCGTGACAGACAGTTGTTACCTTGATATGAAGTGGCACCAGCGGAATTTTGCATCAGGCTAATTTGTTTTCATGAAAACCATACGAAGCAGAGCAAGACGTAAACAATATCTACCTCCTGAAATTGACCTCAAGTGGCTTAAGGTCATTTTCAATACTTCCATTGCATTTAGAAGCGAATCTGCCCTTTTGAAAAGATTATTATTGATCCTTCATTATCCCTAATATCTGGGGTTCTAGTTGGGCTTCAAATATATCTAAAAATCAGGTGGGTGTAATTTCTTCCAATGAGATTCAGACTATTGTTTTCTTTTTCTTCATAATTACAAGTCATCGGGTTTTCATTTGAACTTTATTTTTGAGGATGATTATGTACTATGTTAAGTTACCTCCTGACATTTAGTGTTGGAATTTATTAGATTTCTGGGAATAGTATAATAAAAAATGATAATACTGTATTAAACGTCATTAATTAGGTGTCAAAACAAAGTAACCATATTGTTTCTCACTTGAATTACAATAGAAGAATTCAAGTTAATTTGCTTATTTTACCATAATAATATGTGCTTCCAACCGTTTAAAAGCTAAAACCCTCAGCAGACAGAGGACAGTTATAAAAAAATCCTCACTGCACCAGAAAATCCGGGATATGAATCAATTTGTTTAACTGGCCGCGCAGTAATAAACAGAATGTGCTAACTTCTCTTAGCAAAGAGATTTTTGTAAACAGGCTGCTTCCAAATATATTTTATGAGCCGCCCATTAACTCAGATGTTGTTTGAGGCTGGAAGCCTCGGTGATCCATCTCGCACGGCGGCTGGGAGGAGGGGACCCCTGAAATCGCCCCGTGAGAAGCCCCGCGCGGGGTCCTGTGGAGTCGTGACCCTCGGGAGGTGTTGGTTTACAGAGCGGGCAGTGGGCAGTTCGCCAGCAGCACCCAGGAAGCAGCGCTGCCAACGCCCGTGGCCGGGAACCCCGCGTTCAAGGTCGCCACCGCCGCAGACCCGCACTTTATCCGGTCTAACTTCAGTGACGGGGGACAAAACTCCTAAATGTAGACTATCCTTCAGTATTTCAGCAGAAGATTATGACCATGAAAAGCAGTTCATTACCCTGTTTTTTTGGACCATTTTTAGGGCTCCACCCTCAAGGACAAATTCCCGAAGAACCACGCTCAAAATGTGAGGGGCGACATCCTAGCCAAGGCCCCCCATCCGGAGCCCCCTGCTGGGTGTCCTGGCCTTCAGCGTGGACGTGGGGAGGGGAGGAGCTTGGTGCTACCACTTTGCTCCGAAGCTCACAAAACAGGATTTATTCCGCGGAAGCTGAAAGGGTTCAATAAGGGATTGCAGGACCGGAGCCAATGGCTTGGGTGTCAAGATTTTTAGGATATTTTTCATGCTATTATCAATGACCTCTTATCTTAAAAATGTCACTTAACGATTCCTCTGCTTCAGCGTCCCCATACAATGAATGTACTCCCCTTAATTCCCAAGTTCCCTGAAAGGTAATGGTGGACAGATACCTCGATAAACATTTTTAAAGCAGTTTGACTTCCTTAGAAAGAAAGCAGGCTTTTGAAAAAAGTTCCCTAAGAAAATATTTAGGTACTCAGTAATACGGGGTCAGAAATCTCTTAACTTTGATCACTTAAAAAAAATAGCTTTTTAAGGTGAACTCGATAAGTGTACTGTGTGTGCATGTGCCGATCTATTATGCAATATACCTTTTCTCTGATGGCCAAGCAAAGAACAAAGGTCCCGAGCTAAGAAATCTTAGATCTCAATGCTTCGTGAGATAGAGATGCTTTAATTAAATACATCCTTTCCCTTAACTTGTAGAATTTTTTGGTCTCCTACCCCTCCACTTTGAATGCCATGCTTATGCTTCTATTCTGCAGGGGTGGTAGCAAGACCGTGTGGGGTTTAAATCCATGACACCCTTTGTAGAACAGAGACGACTTGATCAAAATAGTGATTGAGCAGAAATGCTGTTCTTTTTTTTTTTTTTTTCCTGATAACGGGACCAAAGTCAGCCTCTTTCTAAGAACAAACACACACACACCCACCCACCCCCGTATTCAGAGCTGAGGTTTTCCTTCTACCCCCAACTAATAAAACCAGGAGGCTGCAAGGAGGCCGAGCGGCAGGCAGTTTGATGTCCTCAGCAGGATGCGGGGAGGCAGAAGTGGCGTTGTAAATCCAGAGCGGGCTTCAACACTGCGTTAAGTGTGGCCTGAGTCTCAGAGACTTCCCTTTGATGCAAGTTCAGTATATTAATGGGAAAAGCATTCACTTTTATTTGTCTGTACTGTCTGCGACAGCAAGGCTGCCTCATTTAGCCTGGGCCAACATGAAAACACACGGAGAAGCAATCTGTTGCGAATTAGCACAGCTCCCCTTTCATTTACTAGCTAGTAATTGGAAGGGGTTAAGAAAGTGTAACTTATCAGACCACATGAATGTATCTGCTCGTGTGGACAGCAAGCCTCCCCGAATTTCCCTGAGAGCCCGGAGGCAATAACCCTTCCTCCTGTCCACTTGGCCTGAAAAACAACCCTGACGCGTGTGAAAGGTGCACGCTTGGTTGGGTCTGAGCAGGCGGTTTCCGAGACCCCCGACGGGGGTGTTGGTGACTCTGTTGGAACCTTACCTTTCTTTAGATATGTTTTTACTCTCCCGTTTCCAGATCGTCTTGAAGTCACTGCAGAACTCATACCACACCATGAACACATAGTTGGGAGTGATCTCCTTCTCACCAGACTTCGGCTTCATCCCAAAATATCCCACTGTCGTTTCAAAACTGCAGGAGGCAGGGGGAGAAAACGGTGAGGCAGAGGGTGAGAAACGGTCAACACGGTCTGGGGGAGGAGAGGGGCACGAAGGGGGGGGCTTCACACATGTCCGGTCTCTGTTATTGTGGCTTAGCCTAAACCCCAGAGAACCCATCTTATCCCTGTGAACACCGGCATGTGTAATTTCAGGGGGTATGTAGGTAAAACTTTCTGCATTTGTTCTTCACCTCAAATCTGTGTCATGTACCTGCTCTTCCTCTGAAGTTTAATGATGACACGCAGCACTGCTGACATACTGGCTCCGTGGCATTAAGCGGTGGTCAGTGGGAGAGTCCACTGGGAACAATTAATCGGTTGAGTGTTCCAGGAAAAATCAAGACTGTTCTCTCCTTATCCTGGCACCCGCCGGCTTGGTGAGCTGGGGTCACTCACTCAGCATCGGACTCAATTTTCTCAAGGGTAAAATAAGAGACGGAGCCTCTATGATCTTTAAGAAGGCTACATTTTAAAGCTTTATGTGATACAAGACTACAAACCACCAGTGTACAAAAATACATGTATGATTGAGGGCATAGAAAGGTTTGGGTGGAAAATCATCTTTGATCTTAATGAACAATCCCCAGTCGGGTCCAGGTTTTGCAAAGTAGATTCCCAGATATCAGCGAGAGCTCCTGACCCACCCCATGGAGGCTCGCTGCACACCAGACTCCCCGGGCCTCCCAAGCAGCCCTTCTTGGAGGCACCGGCTTCGCAGCAATTTATAGCTCTGCACTCAATCTCTCTACCCCCACCCCCCAGCCTCACAAGCTCATTTGCCATGAGCAAGAACACTTAAATAAATGGCTCCGTTTTCTAGGGTGTTGGAAACTAATCAAAGCAGGAATGACTGGCCAGGTTTATTACTCCTCAATGCTCTATCCTCTGTTCAGACACGGCCTTTTTTTGTGGCCATCCTGAAGACGGAGCTCCCAGTGGAACCCCATTCACTGGCCATTGTAAAACCCCGAAGCCCCGTTACTATTACGGAGCATACTTTCATCTCGCTCTCAGTTATTGGCCAATATGTATCTCATAAGATTTTATCACATTTCACAGATGAACTGTTAATTGATTCCATGGCTATGATTAGGCGAGATCCAAGTTGGAGCTGCAGCTCTGAGTCCCATAAATTCTTTGTGCTTCTGTAAATAATAAATCTGTTTTTAATGCAAATTAAAACTACTGGTCAGGGAATTTGGGTTCCCAGTTATTAAAAGACTGGAAGTGTCTAAGTGGAGAAAGGCAATAACTGCAGTAATTTCTTAAGGGACTCTCTTATAATACCAAACATGCCTATTCCGGCACAAAACCAGCCATGGAAGGAAGGAGCAAGGTCCACTTCCATCCAGGCGAGACTCCTAATTCTGTGGCTGGCGAAATACTGATAGAACTGAAGCGTCCTCGATGGCGTATCGCTTTATTTCATTCAAAATGAAAATTACATTTATTGTAGCACAGAAATACATAAGTAGAGAGGTAGGTGGCCTACAAGAACAGGCCATGATCCGCTCCTAGGGGCTTTTGATATGGAAGAGACTTATGTCAACTCGCCCAACATTCTCACTTGACAGATGAGAAAACAGAGACCTGGGAAGGCTGAATGTCCCCGTTTACTGGCAGAGTTGGGCCTATACCTCGGGTCCCCCGATTCTCTGGGAAATGCTTTTTCCTCTCTACCCTCCTGTGGCTATGCTCGCTGACACGGGCACTCAAGAAATAAAAGTTATTTTTTCCCCCTGTTTCTACTGTAGACACAGTTGCCCCTGTATCATACATGACATGCGTTCCCCCCAGCAGAGCACATCAGTGTTTTTTCCTCTTCCTGTGCTCGCCTTACAGAAACGTATTTATCCGTGCATTAACGAGAACGCCTTTCACTTTGAGTCTTCGGAGGAACACACGGTCTCCCTACTTTCCGGCAGGATACAGTGAAGGGCACAGAAACTCCTGTCACTGTACTTCTTGGAGCCCCTGACACCTGTGGCCTTACTCAGGGTCCCGACTGTGAGACCAGGACATGACATGCACTGGTGCGGACGCAGAGAATGACAGCACTGTCTGGGGGCCTTTCACGGAGCTTGAGGGAAGCAGGTCACGGTCCTGCGAGCCTCGGTTTCCCCGCTCTAATCTGAAGCTCACTGTACCCTCGCCGCCTCTCCTCCGGGAGCCATGAGGTGGGCGCTGTGAGGTCCTGCTCACGCACCCTCCAAGGGGGTGAAACCAAAGGAAAGACAGGACTTTAGCATTTCCCCCACTGCAGGTTTTGGGAATTAAGAAGGCTAGCGAACCTCTTTAGAAGAACCAGAGCAAACAGTCCCAGAGGACAGCCTGGCGGTGGCATCTCAGCTGTGCTGCAGAGCAAGCTGCTCTGAGGTTGTGCCTTGTTTGATCTCAGTGTTGCTCCTTGTTCAAAGAAAACCTAGCAGCTCGTCTACGAACCAACACTGTCTGAGAAAGTCCAGACTGCTGTCCTCCCCGAACAACCCTCTCTTCCTTTCAAATTCCATTTTGATGCACGGAAGACTGATGATTGGAAACCTTCTGAGATTTGGGCTTGAACATTATCGATATTAAACAGCCAGGATGGCCTGGCTGGTTTGGCTCAGTGGTTAGAGCATCGGCCCGCGGACCAATGAGTTGCGGGTTCAATTCCAGTCAAGGGCACGTACCTGGGTTACAATTCGTCCCTGGCCCTGGTTGGGGTCGTGTGGGAGGCAGCCACTCGATGTGTCCCTTTCATGTTGATGTTTCTCTTCCTTTCTTCCTCTCCCTCCCTCCCACTCTATCTGAGCAAAAATGGAAAAATGTCCTCGGGTGAGGATACAAACAAACAAACAAACAAACAGCTAAGATGAATCTCTCCAATGGACAAAGGGGCAATCATGCTTTGTGGAACTTCTATTTGTCAACAGTTGACCCTAAATCTGCTCTCAACTTGGAAACGTGGATGGATTTCTGACCATGTTTCAGAAGACGTTTTGACTTCACTCTAAACTATTCCCTGGTTCCTTCTCCCCCTGCTACAATTCCTTGTCTGATTCGTATCTTCTCAGTTCAGCGGAACATGTTTAAAGTGCAGACAGAGCCCGTGGCCGGCTGACAGTTTTACTTCTGCGGCGTTGGGAGGCTGGAGCGGAGCACCCCCCTCACGGCCTCACATCCGCGCCTTCGGAAACTGCTTAGGAAAAGCAAATGCTCCTTCGCCTCAGAGTAGACTGTTTCTCTTGAGAATAAAATGCAAGAATTTCCTAAATCTCACACGAGTATTGCAACACTGACCACCAATCTCCTTGAAGAGTGTAACCAAACAACTGTGGTTTCTGCATTAAAGATGGGATCGGACATATTTCATGTATGACATGAAAGCTAGACTACCTTCACCACAAAGTCACGGAAAACGCTGACAGCCAGAATTTATGACCCCCCTCGGCATGGCTAATTCACAGCAGCAGCTTGCGGCCCTCTAGGGTGGGCCCCCTTGTCCTCACGCAAGCGTCTCGAAAAGTATTAGACATTTGACATCCACCCCAGAAGCTGAATTTCTGCTTGGCCGGATCCCCACGTCCCTGGTTGAGGGTCCCTTTTACACATGCTGATTATTCCTGTCACCCAGACGAACCACTGTTACACACCAAGGAAGGGAAGCTTACTGTGGGGACAGGGCACAAAACAAAGGGGCGCAGACATCTGAAAATACAACCCCGTGACTGCTTTGGTTGTCAGGGATCACCACGTGAAGACGATGATGGCGATTCATGAACACGTCTGCGCTTAGGAAAACGCAGGATTTGCCTCCACCTCGCGCTCATCTGCGTTGTGGTTTTAGGGGCAACGGCAGTGGGAAGCGGCCAAGATGCTGGTACCCGCAAGCAGAGCAGGCCGCACCGTCTCCAGGCTCCCGGGACCCCGGGAGGAACACCGCTCCTCGCTGAGGTTGTTCATCTGCATTTAGTGAACTCTTCTCCGCACACGTTTGTGATGCGCATTTTCCCACGTGCGCTGTCCCCTGCTCTTACCTCTTCCTGAATTTTCTAGTACTTTTAGAATCGTACCAGCAAACTCTATCTTGGTTCTCTGCACTGAATATGAGACTTATCATATTCCCTCTGTATATTCCCACCCCACCCCCTGGGGGGGGGACGCTGGCCGACCTGGTCAACGGACACAAAGAAAAACCCCTGAGGGACACAGCTGGTCACTAGGCCTCCGCCACTCTGATGGCTGCTGAGGGACAGAGAGCCACCAAGAGGCTTGCGGTAGGGGAGAGGGTGAATGGGAGACCCTGAGGTCTCACAAATTCTGGGGGAGTTGTCCACATACACAGGTCCATCTCCTTCTCCCCACCATAGCCTCTAGGCTCCGAGGAAAGGCACAGCGCGTCTCTCAGGTGTCTGTGACAACTGGTGGAATCGAGCTGCAATACCGAGGAGGGTCGCGTGGTCCTGCCTCCTAGCGGAGCAACGGAGGGGAGGCCGACGGGTGGAAATTGCCTCTGACAGGTGATGCAGGTGAGTCACCTGCTGCTTCTCGAGGAGAAATACTGCAGAGTCCGGTTACAGGACGTTCACTGAGCTCTCCACAGACTGCTACCGTTCATGGAGGCAGAGCCTTAGCAAATGGGGCCAAAAGAGTGGCCAGTCAGACATTCTGCTACTGAATTAAGCCAGTCATGAGAGGAAAAATACTGTATGATTCCGCTTACGTGAGGAAACTAGAGTAGTGAGAGTCACAGAGATGATATCCCAGTGGTGGCTGGGGGAAGGGAGAGGGGAGGTAGGGTTTAATGGGTCCAGCGTTGCTTTCGGAGAAAGTGAAAAAGTTCAGGAAATGGACAGTGGTTATGGTTGCACAGCAATGGGAAATGTACTTAAAAAATACTGATAAAAATAATAATAATAATGATAATAATAATACTAATAATAATACAATGGCTAGTCAAAGAAAGATCAGGCTAAGTCAGAACTGCTTACCTTTTCTGTGCATTCTCCAAGTGACTTTCTTCCATTTTATGCTCTTTTTTGGCTGTGAAAGAGAAATATTATGATTAAAACAGTATTTTCTTCCATCATATTTTTTTGCGTAATATTCTAACTTTGATTATATCTGTTATTGAAATGTGTCTGAATTCAGAGATTGGCAGCCCAACCCAATGTCCTGGAGAAGGCACCCAATTCACTACATCTATCACTACTGCTTTCTTTTCCTTGTTCTTTTTAATCCTCTCTTGAGGACATGCTCAGAGAGAGGAAGATTAAGAGAGAGAGAGAGAGACATTGATGTGAGAGAGGCACATCGACTGGTTGCCTCCCACACATGCCCTGACCAGGGCCCAGGACTGAACCTGCAACCCAGGTGTGTGCCCTTGACCAGGAATCGAACCTGTGACCCTTGGGTGCTCGGGCTGATGCTCTAACCACTGAGCTACACGGGACAGGGCAATTATTATTATTTTTAATCCTCACCTGAGGATATGTTTTTTATTGATTTTAGAGAAAGAGGAATGGGAAGAGAAAGAGAAAAACATTGATGTGAGAGAGAAACATTGATCTATTGCCTCCTGTACGCACCCCAACTGGGGATCAAACCAGCAACCTAAGTATGTACCCTGACTGGGCATAGAACCCACAATCTTTTGGTGTATGGGATGATATTCCAACCAACTGAGCCACCGGCCAGGCTTAGCATTGATTTTAAAATGTAAATTTTATCAAGTTACTCCCATGCTTAAAATCTTCCAAGAGCTTGCCATCACCCTTGACATAACCTTTAAAGTCTTCACAACGTCCCCAAAGGTCCTCAAGTCTGCTCCCTGGCTCCTCTGTGATATCACCTCTTCCTTTCCACACTCATTCCTTTCCGGCTGGTAGGTCCCTTGCTGATGCTGAGCACACTGAGCACGTGACTGGGGATCTTTGCACTTGCCCCACCTCCGGCCTGGGCCACCCTGCCCACAGTCTCTGCATGCCAGGCTCCCTCACTCCATGGGTCTCAGCCTGAATATCACCTTCTCTGACCTCACTAAAGAAAGGATCATCCCTTTTCACCCATCCTCCTGCCCCCCCCACCCCTCCCTCCTCATGTGACCTTTCCCCCCATAGCCTTTATCTACTTGACACACTAAGTCATTTGCTCATTTGCTTATTATACGACCACTGAGTGTCAGCTCTAGGAAAGAAGTCACTTCACCTGGCTTGCTTTCAGTTGTGTATTAAACAGGGAAAGTGCCCACATATTAAATAAATTATTTTAGCTTAAGAAAGTATATATTGGCCCTGGCTGGTGTGGCTCAGTTGGTTGGGTGCCATCCCGTGCACCGAGAGGTTGCTGGTTCGATTCCTGGTCAGGGCACATGCCCAGGTTGTGGGCTTGATCCCCAGTAGGGGACGTGCAGGAGGCAGCTGACTGATGTTCCTCTCCCACATCGGTGTTTCTCCCTTCTCCCTCCCCCTCTCTAAAAACTCAATAGACTATTCTTTAAAAAACATGTATATATTGGATATAGATTGCTTAAAAAGAGAGACACTAGGTTTCTGAAACATAAAACTTTATATTTAGAATATAAACATAGGCTAAAGTAGATTATGTTACTTTAGGCCGGAAGAGGTTGTATACTTTATTCTCTAAGTCCATTACATTTCATCGAACAAAAATAATTTCTTTTTATAGTAACACGAGTTGGCTTTGCTATTACACCATTTTAGGTAAAGTCATGGTTTCGGTTATCTTTTGCGGTATAATTTCCCCCATCCCCCCAGCAGGAATCTCTGTGAATTAGTCTGGTTCTTAGTCAGATACAGAGAAGTGACCTATGTCTCTCACAGGCGATACCAAGTTCCCCAAAATGTGAAACAAACTAGTGGTTTGTTCTTATCCAGTGATTCTTGATTATGTGCAAGGTCAAACAAGAGGGAAGTTCTCCCAAGGCCTGAGTGACCTTCCTGGAGCACCTTTGCTGTTCTCCGTCACCAAACGGTTTCTAACTGGCTGCTTCCATACTGTGTTAAGCAGACTGTGGTCAAGCCGGCATTGTATATAAACTTAGTGACAAGAAATACCCTTCCCAAACTGAATTAAGCATTAGCGAAGGATTTTCAATGGCTCTATGAATATGGTTATCTGGAGGGAAAAACAGCATCCACATATAAAAATGGGTATTACTAAGATGCAATCTCCGAGGGTTTTGGGGAACAAAGCTCTCAGGAAAGTGAGAACCACCTAGAGATCTCAATTTTTCCTAAGCAAAGGGTCTGCACAGAAAAGAAATGGAAGATCCCTCCATGGTGTGACCTGGAAGCTCTCCCGGCCTAAAATACTTGTCCTGCCACAATGTGTGAACTTTCTAACCATGTTGTTATACATTTTAAAGTTAAAGTCTTTAAAACGTGCCCAGCCAGTGTGGCTCAGTGGTTGAGCATTGACCCATGTATCAAAAGGTCTGGCTGCCTCCTGCATGTTCCCAACTGGGGCTGGGGTTCGAACCTGCAACCCAGGTATGTGCCTTTAACCAGGAACCAAACCTGCGACCCTTTGGTCTGAGGGCTGACACTCTAACAGCTGAGCCAAACAGGCCAGGGCTAGTATGAGTTATTTTTTACAAAGGGTAGCAAGAAAAAAAAATGCAAAGCATGAACTGTTATCTCTGAAAGGAGACTCTCTCTGGGTTACTGAACTAGGGGCACTTGGGCAGCCGGAGCATGCCACATAGGTACTAGGCACAAAAAAAGGGAGAGACAATGTTTAAATTGGAGATGGCAAGTCTTAGATAAAAACTGCCCTTACCTACAACTTTGGGTAGCAGTGGCCTGAATTGATGCGTGGGATTTACTTAGACTTCTATTCTACAAAGCCACATGGATAGTATTTAGGTGCTACTTCTTTTTTCTTTTTAATCCTCACCCAAAGATATTTTTCATTAATTTTCAGATAGAGTGAGAAGGAGGGAGGGAGGGAGGGAGGGAGGGAGAGACATCTCACGCCTGAGAGAGAAACATCAATGTGAGAAAGACACATTGATTGGTTGCCTCCCCCACGACCTCAACCAGGGCCTGGGATCAAATTGCAACTCAGGTACATGCCCTTGACTGGAATCAAACCCAAGACTCCTTGGTCCACTCTAAGTGCTGAACCAAACTGGCCAGGGCTAGGCGCTTCTTTTTCAGTTTAAATTTGGTACTATGTGTGTGGTGGGTGGGAGGATAGGCTTCTGAGAAATTGGAGAAGTTGTCAGACACGGAAACAGCACCTGGGGAGACAGTAACAGAAGCCATCCCCAACCTTGCTCTTCTTCCTTTCATAAAAAAGGTGTCTCATTGTCTGCAATGAATTAAATATAATTATTTTCCAAATTGGGGGACTAAAGAAGCTGCTTAGAATGCTGACAGTCTAAGACAATAAAAGTGAAACAAATTAGAGCACTAAAAATGAGACTTTTTGCTTAATACCCATTCTGTCGTCCAAACTTTATGAAGGCTACGCATGCACTGTGACCGTGTGAGTCCCTGGAGGTGCTCAGGGAGGGCTGAGGGGTAAGTCTGCATGGTGACCTTCCTACAGCATAGGATGATGTTTCTGTCACTGCCAGAACTGTGCTGCTTTCCTTATACTTTAATTTTCTCCATTAAAGAAAACAGCTATTGCCCTGGCCGGTTTGGCTCAGCGGTTAGAGCGTCGGCCAGCGGTCCGGAGAGACCCGGGTTCAGTTCCCGCTAAGGGCACGTACCTCGGTTGCAGTTTGTCCCTGGCCTTGGTTGGTCGTGCGGGTGGCAGCCACTCGATGTGTCCCTTCACATCGATGTTTCTCTCACTCTCTCTCTCTTCCTCTCTCTCCCTCCCACTCTATCTGTACAAAAAATGGAAAAATATCCTCGGGTGAGGATTAAAAAAAAAAAAAAAAAAAGAAAACAGCTATTTTTCATAATTCCATGTCACAGAGAGAAAGCAGCAAGCAGCATCGCTTCTTCAGAAGGTATATTTATTTAAGAACGATTTATGTGGATTTTATCCAATGCAGCCTTTACTGAATAAAGACCATTTGCTTCTGTGTAAATCTGTAGTGCCTTGGAATTTTGTTTCCTGGTTCATTTCATGGCCATTTTCTCATTCGTTATCATAAAATCGCCCCACAAAAACAATTCTGAAATCCATAAGTACTGTGGCCTACCAAGTGAAGCAGAAATGGTTCTTTTTGTTCAATGGCTGTCGGCCCAAGAAATGCAAATCAGAACTCAAGATAGCTACATGCCAAGTTTTAAACCCAGCCCTGCCACGCAAGGGTCATGGACAAGTTGCATGTGTTTTGTGCTCCAGTTTTCTCCTCTGTAAAATGAAGATGATAATTCTTACCTCCCACATAGTTATGAGAGCTACACACCAAGGGAACAGTGCTTGGTGAAATCAGAATCTTCATAGTCAGATCTTGGATGGTTCTACATCATGCTGAGGCGGGGGTGGGGGGGCAAGCTTCCAACTGGACAGCTGTTCTGACAAAGTTAAATGCAGCTGTAGTCCAGTGGGAAAAGGCTGGGCTTTGCATCAGACGGATGTGGGTTGAATGTCTGCTCTGCCACTTTTTGACTGAAAGACCTTGAGGAAGTCACTTAATTCCACTGGAACTTACCCGTCAAATTGGAATGGTAAGATCTACCATGCAAGGTGGTTGTGACTGTTGGATGTGCTGAATGTGAGAGAGCAATGTAGTGAATAGCATGCTAGACACTCAAAAACGGCAGCCATGCATTACTGAACGCAAGCGCTAGTAATCACCCTTCCGGCTCTTCGACTTTGGATGGGTAACACAGACTTCCAAGCATAATGCTCCTTTCTTTTTTAAGGACGTCCACAGCCACGCTCAGGGGGCAGTACTTTTGCTTGTGATTGGTTTCGAGTCACAGCAGATGTCCTCTGCTCAAAACCTCAGCTCTTCCATTACACCCACAAAGCCAGCGTCCTTGACCACGGCTGCAGGGGCTTTTCTACAGAAGGGTGTTCCCTCTGTCCCACCCAAAGTCATTTTATTTGCTGTT